ATATTACATCTTAGTTGTGCCCCCCGGCCTGGCTGTTAGCGTTTTTGGGTGGCCCCCCCTTCCTGTAGACGGCCCCCTCACTAAAACATTCGCATGTGGGCGTCATGCCCGTGTCGGCACCCCTCTCACGCGCTTCGTGGCCCCATATGGGGGCTCCACCGAAAGCCCCAGAGGGGCCGCTCACATGTGGGCGTCGCGCCCGTTTCGGCACACCCCTTGCGCGCGCCTCCTGGCCCCATGGGGGAGCTCCACCGAAGGCCCCGGAGGGAGCTCCGCAAAAGGCCCCAATGGCACGGTCTGCATGCGCCCTCGCCTCCCCCACTGCGGCATGCCCCTCGCGCGCTTCGTGGCCCCATGAGGCAATTCACCGAAGACCACACTCACGACCGCGGTACTCACAACTGCACATGGTTGGGTCCTTCACCGAGATCGATGTGCCTGGGCATCTCCTGCCGGTGTGTGCTCACCGGGCAGTTGCGGACTCGAGCGCCACATCGTCTCGATGAGGGCTCTTGCCTTTGGTAGACTCTGTACTTCCACCGCTCAAGGTCATTTCTCGTGGGATGGCTGCATTCTTTCTTGAGAAGAGCAAGAGGCCCGACAGTGGAACAAGCTTTGCAACGAAGCACACGAACAGCATGCTCCCGTCTGAGCACTGTAAAAATAAAGAAGATTACGGCCGAGGGCGCCAATGCTTTGCAAACCGGGCGGGAGCTGGCCAGCATAGCCCTCCTCAGAGGGTCGGTCGGATTCGCCGAAAACTGTGCTTCGTTGCCTGCGAAACTTCAAGCATACACTTGGCAACGCTAACAGCTGGAGCAGCACTCCCAGATGCACGGTTCCCCCCGGGGCCGTGGCCGACCCGAGGAGGAGGAGGAGGAGGAGGAGGAGGAGGAGGAGGAGGAGGAGGAGGAGGAGGAGGAGGAGGAGGAGGAGGAGCGGAGGAGGAGGAGGAGGAGGAGGAGGAGGAGGAGGAGGAGGAGGAGGAGGAGGAGGAGGAGGAGGAGGAGGACGGGTCGCCTAAGCCCGAGGAGGGCTTTAGGTAATATGGCACTCGGGCGCCTGGACCCCGATGTTGGTGGGCCCAGTTTCCTGGATTCACCACCATGGAGGGCACGGTGGCCCGATGTGGCATATGGCCTGGGGCCATCAGGGTCCACACTGCAATGGCTGGGCCAACGACTCAAGAGACCAAGAGAGCCTGGGCACTGTGGCCCAGGCACTACGGCTTGGCACCTTCCAAGTCCGCGTGGAACCATTGGTACTATACACTTCTTGACACAATCTGGGGTTATCATGTATGGATTGCCTTATCGCTGTGGGTGTGGTGTTAAGCCTGCATCTTCGCAATCCATGGCGGCATCTCGCTGCAAGTGCCGGCACCGTTGAACATATTTCTACAGTGCGGAGGGGATGGGGTGTCAAGAGCTCGAAAGAGGGCCAGGGAGGGGGGTGGAGTACAGGGACATAGAGAAAACACAAAAACCAGGAGAGGGTAGGGGAGGGGAGCCCGAAGGTCTGGGCATCCCGCTTCCTGGGATCGCGTTGACGGTGAGGGGGTCTAGCAGAATCTGGGGGACCCTCCACCGCAAGCGACCCATGCTTGTCTTGAGCAGCGTCCCGGCATTACTATAGTCCTACCACGAAATGTTCTTAGAACCCAAACTTGTTCTAAGAACAAAAACAATGTTCTTAGAAGATCAGTCCGGTGTGATAAAACAAAACAGACTCCGCCAGAAATGCTCTAAGTACACTTCGTGGAAACCAGAAGAGGTTCTTAGAACATTGTTTGGTGGGGCTATAGGCGAGCCAGGACGCTTCGCCACTGCTTGATTGTCAACCCCATTCCATGAGATGGCGCGGGCGGCACGGGACGTGCGATAGAATCGGCAGGGGGGGGCCGACCCTCCCAGGGATACGCGCCTCTGCCCCACCACGTGCACTGCACGGGGCAGCGTGCCAGACGAGGGTGCAGCAAAATCGCCAAGGGCCCCCCGTTGCCCTCGTCTCTCCCCCTCCGCGCGCCTCGGGGGGGGGGGGCCCGGGGCTTGAAGGTACTCTCCTGTCTACACATGCTGTGCATCGAGCGCAGGTGGTGCAGGCTATCGTCACCACAGGGTGACCTCAGCAACGGAACACGACACCGATGACGGATGGGCCGGCTCGCGCAAACAAGAGACGAGCGCGTTCCGCCACTCGCAAAGTAACTACTCGCAAATGGCCTGGATCCGTTGCGGGGGATCTACGATAAATCTCATCGAAGCGAGCATCTGTTTTTTTTCGTACGTTTGCGAGTAGACACTTTGCGAGTAGTGGAACGCGCTTGGTGAAACAAGCATCGATAACGGACCGGCGGGCACATCCAAAATACAACGTCGATAGCAGATGGGCCGGCACGCACTAACAAACATCGATAACGGATGGGCTGGCACGCCCAGACTGGCAACGACAACAAATGGGCCCGCACGCCCAAACATCAGCAGACAAGCTCGCCTGTCCCATGAGCGTGGCCGGAGCTCGGGGGGCAAAACCTGCCCCCCTGGCTGAGCTCACTGCCCCTGATGCTGATGTTACTCTCCTTGGCCCACGGGGGGAGGAGGATGGGGAGGAGGAACTTGCCGGTGCACTCAGCACACGACGAGCAAGCTCGGGCGAGAACAGTATCACCGCGTAACCTATGCAGTGCCAAGCTGGGACACGTGGTAAGCACTTTCTGCGGCGCGTTTGCCCGCACTGCCCTCGCATCGGGCCCAAATGGATATTGCGACTCTTCCGCGCACTCGGAAGTGTGGGTGGGGGAGGCTATAGGGTTCTTGCAGGACAGGGTTTGGAAGGTAACGGGAAGAACGGGACACGGCAGGGGGGGGTAAGGTGCGAGGCTCTGCAAGAAAGGGGCGGGAACAGTCTTGTCATGAGAGAGACTTTGAAGCCACGGAAGATGAATACGTTTTTACATACAAGCCCAACTTGGCTGCCCCGTGTATACAAGCCCAGCTTGCAGCAAATGTGGCATGAGCACCGCACCTGTCACAATATATGACTCCTCGCCACACCTGCCAACGGTGAGAACTAGCACAATGTGGACTCCTTCTCCTCCTCCTCCTCCTCCTCCTCCTCCTCCTCCTCCTGCTCCCCCCCCCTCCTCCTCCTCCTCCTCCTCCTCCTCTTCCTCCTCCTCCTCTTCCTCCTCCTCCTCCTCCTCCTCCTCTCCTCCTCCTCCTCCTCCTCTCCTCTCCTCCTCCTCCTCCTCCTCCTTCTTCTCCGCCTCCGCCTCCGCCTCCTCCTCCTCCTCCTCCTCTCCTCCTCCCTCCTCCTCCTCCTCTCCTCCTCCTCCTCCTCCTCCTCCCTCTCCTCGTCCTCGTCCTCCTCCTCCTCCTCCTCCTCCTTCTTCTTCTCCGCCTCCGCCTCCGCCTCCGCCTCCGCCTCCTCCTCCTCCTGCTCCTCCTCCTCCTCCTCCTCCTCCTCCTCTGTCTGCTCGGCCTCCTCCGCCCCTTCATCCCTATCAAAACAATACAACATACACTTTGCCTTCAAATCGGAAGCGTGCGTGGGCGCCCCGCGGCCACTTTGCATTGATTTCCGACAGGGCCGCGGGGGGGGCGCCATACTGCTTGATGTGCGCAGGCCAACTTCCCCCCACATCCCTTGCAAACAGCACTCTCCTGGCAGAGGACCCATCAAGATGCAGTTGTGCTGTCTTCGGTGGAGCTCCCTATAGCGACACGGAGCGCGCGAGGGGCGTGCCGTAATGGTGGTGGTGGCGGGGGGGGGATGCAAACTGTGCCATTGGGGCCTTCGGTTGAGGTCCCTATGGGGCTACGAAACGTGTGATGAATGCGCCGAAATAGGTGGGAGGACGTATGCGCACGTCGTCACTGAAGACTTCGGTGTAGCTCCCTATGGGGCCACGAGGCGTGTCAGGGGTGTGCCGAAACGGGCGGGGGGGGGGCGCATGCGAACGTCGCCACTGGGGCCTTATGTGGAGCTCCCTATGGGGCCATGAAGCGTGTCAGTGGTGTGCCCAAATAGGTGTGTGGGGGGGAAACGCATGCGAACGTCGCCACTGGAGCCTTAGGTGGAGCTTCCTGTGGGGCCATGAAGCGTGTGAGGGGTGTGCCGAAATGGTTGACATGCGAAATGGCACGGCGGGAGGAGCGACGGCGGGGAGTAGCAGGCCGCGCCAGCAGGGCAGCGACGCGATGGGAAGGCCAGAGAGGCGGGTGGGCAAACGGACGCGCCCGGGTGAGGCATCGCGCCGTGCTCAGGACTTGCGAACAACACCGGGAGGCCGTCCCAGCCGATCGCGCGGCGAGGTGAGACGCGCGGATAGAACTCTGAAGGTCGGGCTGAGGAGACGCGACGGGAGCCACTGCACCAGAAAAGCCGTGCAACGACACAGTGAGGAGGCGGTGTGCAGAAGGGCTCACCGAGTGAGGCGACGCGTCAAGACCCGCGGCCGACGATCCTCTCGGTTGGGCCATCAGGTGAGACAGCTGAATAAACAAAAAGAGAGCGCCAACATGCTAGCCGACACCGAGCACCCGAAGCACCCGCACTGGAGAGCACGAGTGACCGTGGAGGCTCTCGACGCGGCAGCAGGGCCCTCCCGCGCCAGATACCGAGCGATGCCCACTTGGTGTGTGGAGCCCCGGCGTCGAGGCAGCAGGAGGGAGAAAGAGGAAGGAGGGTGGGAGGAGGAGTAGGCGAAGGAGGAGGAGCAGGAGGAGCAGGAGGAGGGGGAGGAGCAGGAGGAAGAGGAAGGAGGGAGGGGGGATGCTGAGAAGGAGGGATGAGGAGACAAACGTGGAGGCGAAACATGAGGAGGAAGATGAGGAGGGATCATGGGGGAAGAGGACGGGGGGAGGAGGAGGGAGATAGGGAGAAGGATGATGATGATGATGATGATGATGATGATGATGATGATGAGGAGGAGGAGGAGGAGGAGGAGGAGGAGGAGGAGGAGGAGGAGGAGGAGGAGGAGGAGGAGGAGGGGGTGGCACCTCCTCGTCCACATTGAGCTTGATCACGCTGTCCAGCTCCTCTAGGTCGCGAGACTCGCGCTCGAGCTCACGCTCGAGATGCTCCAGGCGGGTGAGCTGCATGCGGCGGTCAATGAGCGCCTGACGCTAGCCCTCCCCCGATACGGTGGGCCTTGACAAATCGATACTTATCCCCCTCATGATGAAGAAGACGTCCTCAGGTGGAGGATTGTGCACACATGCTGCGTATGTATACATGTATACATATACAGGCATATGCTATGCTTACGGACATGTATAATTACATACTTATGTCCTATATGTGTCTACCAGTAGATATTGTCCATACGTCGAGAAACATATCGAGAGAGAGAGGGAGAGGGATAGAGATCTGTATCCGTATATACAGAGAGGGAATGAGAGAGAGAAAGAGAGAAAGAGAGAGAGAGAGAGAGAGAGAAAAAAAAATAGAGAGCGAGAGAGCGAGGGGAACAAGGAGAGGAACAAGGAGGACGAGGAGGATGACCTCGTCGCCGTCCTCCTCCTCCTCCTCCTCCTCCTCCTCCTCCTCCTCCTCCCCCTTCTCCTTCATGTCCTCCCCCTCGTCCTCCTTATGATGTTTATCATCCTGCCTTCTGGTAGTGCTGTTGTCGTCGAAGACAATCCGCCATCGTGCCGGTGGCATGTTCGGGCGTGCGAGAATGCCCTGGTCGGGTTTGTGAAGATTCTAGGGGCCCCAGCCCCAGGCAACATACTTCCCCACACTATATGTGAAGGCACGTGTGTGTGTGTGTGAGATCTCATGCAGATCCTGAACCAATGGCTCGTGGCCTGTGGTCTACTGTATGGTCTAATGCCTGATATGCCGTGAGGTCGCCCGAAAGATCTCCCGAATGGTTTCCTGTCTCCCGTATGGTCTCCCGTAGGTGCAATACATTACAACGCCCCTTGACTGTTCAATCAAGCTGTTTAGGGCCTTCTGCCACCAACGTATAATTGAGAGAAGCGCCGCCTCCCTGTACGTCTTGCGCCACGATGTTCCCCTCGGTCACGGGACGGTCCAAAGACGGCCCAGGAACAGCAATGTGCCACAGGCTGGCATAGAGACAACCCAGACACGCCCCGATGGCCTCAAGGTATCCCCAGGACGCCCTGAGATGCCACAGAAAGACCTCGAGTGGTGCGCGAAAGAGAGAGAGAGAGAGAGAGAGAGAGCTATCCGCAACGTAAGCATAGAGTGATACGCTGTGTTTTGCTGTCCAAGCTTTTCATCGTAAGAACACCTCCGAATGGATTCGGAGAGCTCCAGGATGGCCTCCCAGGGCCACACGAGGCCCCCAAACCACAGTAAAACTCCACGACAGCCCCAGCACCCCCCAAGACGACCCAAGACTGCCGCAAGAGGCCTCCAATACAGTCGGGGCGTTGACCTAAGGAACCCAAAATAAGGAACGAGGCCGAGGCCCCTTTTTTCCATAAGTTAAACTTCGATTTCCGATCGAAAACATAAAGAAAACCTGAGGCAAGCTGCGAAAGACTTAAGGAACGCGGAGCCCCTCCTCAACGTAAAGGGTTCCTTCTTCAGGGCCCCGACTGTACGGCCTCAGGACCCGACCTGACGGCAGAGGGTCGCCTCTGCCGAGCCTCCTCGGGAGAGCTCGGCAGAAACTTCGCGCCCCAGGACCTTCAATGGGGCCCCGAAAAGTACTCCAGAAGCTGCAGCGCGACAGGATCATAGGGATGCGCGGCAAGGTCCTTGCCGCGCATCCCTATGATCGGCAGAAACCGGATCGGGCAAACTCGAAATCGGAATCGCGAAACGGAATCCCGGAATCGAGTCGGTTCGAAATCGGAATCGCGGAAATCGATTCGAATCGAACCGGCGGAATCGGAATGACCCCTGCAAGTATGCCATGCCCTTGGGCGCCCCAACTGAAGCCGAAGCTGGAAGCTCGTGGTCCAGGGCTGAGGGCTTGGACGGGCCCAGCGGCAAGAACGCGATGGTTCTCTTAGGAAGCTGCTCGCCCTCATGTTGCGGCTTGACTGCGCAAAGAGGGCCCCGCAAGGCCTGAGACAGTCCAGAACGCTCCGAGAGCACGAGGCAACGCGTGAAGAGTTCGGCAAGACCATCCTGCCAGCATTTCGAGCGCGGAAGGCTAAGCATCACATGCGAGCCGACTTCGCGTGCATCTTGAGTTTCCTCAGCGACAACGGCCGCGACATACCCCGCCCTATGCAAACTCACGTTGTGTACCGCGCGGGTGTTGGTCTGACACCGCGTGGTTCTTGCATCCTTGAACGGTCGCTGCCCGCCCCAGTGTCCAAATCAGAGCCGCGGCGCCCCGCACTGCCACGCTGGCGAATGGCTCAGCGTGGGACGCCGCCACTGTTTTCCGCTGGCAAGATTCAGTGCAGTCCATCGCAGCCTGGCACGCGACCGTCACGCGGTATTGCGATGCCCTCTGAGGCTGTTTTTCGTGCTGATATGCGTTTTTGCACTCAACTTCTCTCTCTCTCTCTCTCTGCGTGTTTGCGCAAGTCGCCCTGCAGGGGGAAGTCTGCATGCACATTGTACTATCAGTGGGCGAACTCGTTCCACACTGGCCGAATCCAGGCAGCTGGTAGAGCTAATCCTTGGGCGCCCGCGCTGGCGTCGCCGCCGCGCCGGCGCGGCGCGAGCACACCTTTCGCGATCCAGGCCGTCGGATTCTTTCTTCTCCTCTCCCCTCTGGCATTCGTCGTCGTCCTCCTCCTCAAGAAACTCGAGGGCGGCCAAGAGGGGGGTGTCCCAGAGGCGGACGCGCAAATCATGGCCGGCGGCACGTGCGCGGCCCAGCGTGGGGGCCAGGGACGCAGTGAAGCAAGAAGAGGCGCCATGAAATCCGGGGAACTATCATGGCCCCCGCCAGCATAATGTCCACCCCCCCTAATCTTATCACCCCCCTCTTTGCCTCCCCCGAAAAGCCCGTGGTGAGGGAACCGGGTCCTGGACCCCCGGGCCTTGCCCCCGGGCCCGCTCCTCCTGCAGAGTCGCTCCCTGACGGCCCGGGGGCCCCGTCGGGGGCAGAGGAGCAGCCAGAGACCTCATGGGCCCGCTGCCGCCATGGCGAGCACCCGCTCCTCGGCCTCGCGGGCCCCCGCCCCGCCGAACAGCAGGTCCCAAGCCCAGGTCAGCGGAGGGACGGCACGGGGGGTCAGCTCCACGTGTCTCACAGATCCAGTTCCGCCAAAAAAGGGGTCTGGCTGATCCCTGTTGACGCCCACCACCGCTGCGTGCGCCCCGAAAGACCCGGGCGTGCGGCGCTGTGACGTTTTCGGTGCGTGGGCCCCTGGACCTCTCGCCCTCTTCCTCAGAGCCGGCTTGTCATTCAGGTTAAACTCTTTGACGGCCCGACACCAGCCCCCACAAGGCAAAGATGGCGACAACCTGGCCGCCAGGTTTCTTCGAAGCGCCGCATGTCCATCTCCAGCGGCCCTTTACGTCCGCCGCTTTCCGCCGGCCCTCCGCCGCTGTTTATATGCTTCCGCTGGCCTTAGACCAGAAGGCGAGGCGCGCCGAAGTCGAGGCTCTCTCCGGAGCGTGCCAGATGCCCACGGGAGGGGGAGGAGGAGGAGGAGGAGGAGGAGGAGGCGGAGGAGGAGGAGGAGGAGGAGGAGGAGGAGGAAGAGGAGGAGGAGGAGGAAGAGGAGGAGGAGGAAGAGGAGGAGGAGGAGGAGGACAAGGAGGAGGAGGAGGAGGTGGAGGAGGACAAGGAGGAAGAAGAGGAGAGGGAACGCGCCCAAAAGAGTACGATCAACATACAACGGCGGCCTGCCCCTGCTGTTCTGCACAGGACGAGAGGGGCGGCGGCGGGGGGGCAGCAGCGGGCCTCGCGGCGGCAATGGTCCGCTGCCTACTGCTCGAGGATAAAGTCGATCCCAACGAGCTGCGGAAAAAAAGGCAAAGAAGCAGACGCAGGCGAGGCAGACGCAGGCGAAGAGCACGAAGTCGGACACGACTGCCTCCTCGATCCCCACACAGCACGAGCAGACTTTCGCCGTTGAATCTGACGGATCTGAACACCGCAGAAAAGGGAAGCTTCGATGCCAGCCTCGATGGGGCAATGAGGCTGTGAGCGAAGGTTCAAGAGCCATCATGTCCTTGCTTGTGGTACACGAGACGGACATGGTGATACATTGCAGCCGCCACCGGAAAGACACCAACTTCCAGAACAACCTTCCAAGCTCGATGTCCTGGTATGTCAAAGTTGAGGATCAATGCTGTGACGTGGTATGACGTGAATGCGTCGCGGCGGATGGAGTCGACCTGCCCCTAGCAGCCGTACAAGCAGGCTCCATCTCCTTGCATGCGACGTTGTGTGATCCACCCACCGCGCCACGTGCGAACAATCGCGGGGCACCAACTCTTGGGAAACTGCTCAGGCGGGGTTTGGAAATGCATGAAGAGAGCATGCGTAATGCCAATATCAAAATGACTTCTCAGCCGAAGCCTCACACGCAGGACGAGCCTATCAGGAACAACTTGCGTAAGCAACATACAATCGGAAACAGCTTGCCAGTTGTGCTACCGGTTCGGATTCGAACGAGATAGAGGGAGATCGCCATGCTCGCTGGGGGTGGCTATACTTTCATGCGCAACAAAATTGCCTGCCTCCCGATGTTGCACAATACGCCTAACAACATGAGGAAGACCCTCAGGAAACTATCACTGCGACACAAATGGCTGTTGAAGAAATCTGCGGCCAACTACCCACCTTCGCGCGACCTCGAGTGGCCGGCATGTCCGCGAGCAGCGCGGTCCAGACGAATAGCGAAAGGAGCATCGCGCAAAAGCGCAAGCGCCATTAAAACTCGCCCCAAGTGTCACATGTGCCAATGCCGCGAAGAAGACGACGGTGTCGCGATAGATGCGGCCGCCAAACCTAAGTCGTGGATACTGGCGAACGAATAAGAACAGTCGCGCCCTGGACGCACACAGAACGAAACTGAGGTAGACCGAGCCTCCATAAACAGAAGAAGTCCGATGTCGCAACGGTAAAGCTGGGCGCGCGCATGAGGCGCGCGACAAGGTGCCTCTGCCGTTGCCCCAAGGACCACGGCACCAGCGTGAGCTGCATGATAAAGGAGAGGGCGGTGAGGGCGCGTTCAGCGTAGGGGCGGGCAGCGACTTCAGCAGGAGCGCCCTGCTGACTGATGGCGACAGCCCGAGTGTGATGCTTAAGATCAGGGGCCAGCATATGATCCATCAGCGGCGTCGCAGGACCAATCCAGAAGCCCAAGCGGATACACTTGACAACAGTATCGAATGCTTGCCGCGAAATATCACCTGCCTGAAGCTCAGGGCGCAGTGCGAGCACCGCGTCGTCGGGCCACGGGGGCCATCGTGGAATCGCCTTGCACTTCTTGGGTATGCGATGCAAAGTGGCCACCTTCTCTGCCCGCCTGAAAGCTCGAGCCAGACGGCGGAAAACGCGAGCGCCCACGGCCTCTCTCCATGAAGTGCATGAACTAGAAGGTCTGACTCGCAGAGTCACGGCGCGCAGAAGGATTCGAAAACAACGGATACAACCTAATAGCCGCGCCTGCCATGCCGATGAAAACGCTCGGGCGACGTCGAGGGCGAACGAGCGACGCTGGGATCTCTTGGGGCTCAGATAGGGGCCGCGCACTTGCCGACCTCACGAGAACGTCGAGGGCCGCGACATTGTCCCGGCAATTTCGACCACGCATGAAACATCAAACCATTCTGAGACCTCGCAGCATCCGGTTGCACCATTTTTTGGCAGCGCCCGTTGGGTGCCGTGCAGACGACCCTGTTGGCCGTGTTCTTCGAGCCTGGGGTTCTAGCATCCCCCGGGGTTCCCGGGGCCCCGCCCTTCGTCGGGCTCGGGGGCGCCATATTTGATTGGCTTAGGGATGAAGACCGCCAGCGAGGACGAGAAAGACGGCGGCGTAGCCCTCCCAGGACAGAGATGCCGAAGGACCTGCGCGAAGACTTAGATGCTTTTCCCACGTTTCCGAACGACGTGGCGAAGCCCATCAGGGCCGGGGGCGACCCGAGATGCGCGATCCTGAAACGTCCGAAGATGAGCAGTCAGCGGGGGCTCGGTGACCCGGGAGGCATATTGATGAGCGCCAGGCGGAGGGGGGGTGGCCGAGCCGCACGCGGCGGCCCAACGCTCAGATATGGATTCGACTAGTCTGGCCACGGGATCGACAGACGGGGTCGCGATCTCGGATCCGACGACCCAAGACAGGCGCTTGCGCTTGGCATGAGTTTTTTTTTGTTATTATTATATATTATTATATATATATTATTATTATTATTGTTCCCCTCACGTCTGGCCGCGCATGGCAGCCCCGCGTCGTTGCCCGATGAGACGAGACTTCTGCGCCTGAGTGGGGCCGCGTCGATGGCTGTCTCGATATCTTTGCGACGAGCAGCAGCTCCCTCTTTCTGATTGCGCGCGTGCAACTCATGAGACCCCGGGTCAGTGAAGGAGACAGTGGGCAGTTCAAGTTTCAGTCGTCGCCGAGGCCGCGCGCGACGAGCAAGGATGCAGTTGGCGAGACGAACGCCTCGACGCAGCGCAGCGTGGCGGGCGGGGCGAGACAGCGCCGCCCGGGGCGCCATCGACATGGGAGACCGCTGCGGGGAGAGGTCTCGCGCGGCAGCAACATCGGGGCGCGTTGATCGAGCAACCTGGGGGGCCCCGCTCCAGCGAGTCCAGTCGCGTCGCGCGATCTCCCCGCGTGAATCCGATGGTGGCGGGGATGAGCGGGTCGCTGTAGATCGCGCGAGGGAGTGGGCGATGGCGGGCCGGAAAATGTAACGACCATGATCCCCGCGTGACAATGAAAGGCGAAGGAACAGGCGGCTGCCGCCGAAAGTCTTCCCCGGGCTCGCCAAGGGCGGCGCTGTGCTGAAAGGTCTGGCAGAGGGGCCCACAAATCCAATTTTACAAAAAAACCATGCCAATTCTTGCTGCCGACGCAGTCCCCTTATGCCGGCGGGTCGGGGCGTTGCCCGCCAGCTCCCCGGGGCCGCGCCGCGCGCGCCGCCGCCGTTGCTCACCCCGACGAAGGTCGCGTGGAGATGCAGCGCGAGCGCCCGCGCGAGCGCCATCAGCACCGCGGCGGCGACGTCGACCGTGAGAGCTGAACGCCGTCGCCTTTTCTCGCTGCTTTCATGCTTTCAACTGCGATATTGCAGTTCCCCGCCAGCATGGCGGCGGCGCTCGCGGGGCGACTCGCGAGCTTCCTCGCGCCGAACGCGAAGGAGGGGGCCAAGTCGTAGTCATGGCGTTCCCATGATGAAGTGCAAAGTGGCGTGACCAGCTGGAAATGCGGCAATGCAGCGCGCGACCAGAAACGACGGGAACAGCCTCCGCGTTGATGCCCCCCGTGCGCGGCCTCAGCGCGAAAGCGCCACCCGACCTGGGGTCGTTAGGAATGAAGGACAAATCAAAAATGTTGTGCACGAGTACGCTGAAGAACTTCCACTGCCGCCCGACAAGAGCCGCGCACTTCCCGCGCGACCACAGCCGCGCCCTGCGAGGCGAGGCGTTTCAGAAAACCCAGCCGGCGAGATTGAACGGCAGATTGATACTGGAGAAAAGAGCTTGCATTCCACGTGGCGCGTCTTACCTGGGGCTGGCCAAAGAAGACGCTGCCCCCCCCGCTGCGTGGCGCGCGCGGAAAAGGGGGGCCCCGCCAACTGAACAGCGATGGCCTCGATGATCCCGACGTCGCCGCGACTGGGTATATTCCGCTCGCCGACAGGGGGCGCGCGCGCGAAGAGACCAAGAGTCGCGCCGGCGGATCCCAGCGCGAGAGGGGCCGGCCTCCCTCCTGATCGATGAAGGTCCCCGCCGACATATCATCCTCCAGCGTATTCTTGAACTTTGTGGCTGTCATTCCCCCTGTAACTATCTTGCGACTCTGGTCGAAACTGATGTATAGGGGTGCCCGCCGATTGGCGGCGCCGACGGCGAACAAAATGAACCAGCCCGAGGTCGTCTTGAGGCTGGCTTGGGCACGTCGACGTTGAGCTTCCTTGGAAGCCGAGGGAAGATGGATAATAAAGACCGTGCAGATATTGGACAGGTCCTCGCCGAGGATAATGTATTCCCTGTTGAGACTGTAGTCGGCATCCTGCATCCACGGGGTGATAGCTTTCAACAGGGGGGCTTCGCCAGTGGGCTCGGGAGAGCGAGCAACCAATAGAGATAGTACGACTGGGATCACGATCCCACTCGATTTTACGAACCGGTCCCGGCGGCGGGCGCGCAGTGGCCAGGTCGGGCGCCTGTTCCAGCCTGTGAAGACGGCGCTCGCGGGCAGCGACAACTCCTTCGTTTGTCGAAAGGCAACCTTCCATTTCCCACATCCTGGCCTTGAAGATGTTAATTTCCTCCAGCCGCTGCTTCTTGAGTTTCTGGAGTTGGAGGCTTGCCGCCGTAGACAGAGCAGCAGGAAGGCTTTGACTGAGGCTGGCCATAGCCGCCTCTGTGAACTCCTTGACTTCCGCAGCCTTGAACTCGTCGAAGCTGGATTGCATCCACAGGCCCATGCTGCCAACGCCCGTCGGAGCCACAGGCAGACCACCGGCATTTTCGGAGGATGAAGATGCGCATGCGTTCCCTGATTCGCCGGCCAAAGCTGCACGGCACGAGGGCCTCCGTCGACATCAGCAGCAGCATCGAGTCGGTGGGCCATGAACTTCGTCGTCCGGAAAGGTGCTTGCGAGGCCCAGCTCCTTGAGGATACTCTCGTCGACCTTGTCGTGGCGAGTGGCGGGACCAGCTGATGCAGCATGCCGAAATTCTGGGCATCATCGCGACGGGAACCATATGCACGAGACGCACGACGGGTCGAAGGAGGTGCCGAATCAGCTCAGGATTCGGCGTCCCCTCTCTTCTGCGCTCTCCTCGGGGTAGAACACATCCTTGCCATATTTCTTGCCCTTCTTGTCCTTTTTCACTCTGTCGGGCATCCGCCTTGTCGTGCGAAGGAACTGGAAACTCCTCAGTCTGCCCTCGCCCGGCGAGGCGACGGAACGAGGGGCAGTCGAGACACGCTGGTGTCCCGATCCAGACCCGGGCCAACAGGCCGAGAGACGAGGTCTGGCTGCGGACAAGCGTTATCCACGTGTTCCCATGTCGAACAGAGCATCTTGAGCCAAACTGGCGACAGTAGGCCCGTATCATAAGGATGCGCGACAAGGATGCAAGGGCCTTGGCAGGCCATCTAGAGGCTTTTCGAGGGGGGCCGAGCGAAAGTGGCCATGGATGGGCAGAGGAGGCAAGGATACAAGGGTACTCTTGGGAAGGTTGTCCATCCCCACTATTCGGGTCGGCTGGGAGAAGGAGGCAAGGCAAGGTAGCCCCTGGGAGGCAACTCCATAACTCCAGCCGTGCTAATGGAAGACTTCTGAGCATCGTATTCGGGACATTCATTCCCGATGTGGAACCGCTACAGAGCCAGAGGAAAGAAGGAGGAGGAGGAAGCAAAGGGGGGGGAGGAGGAGGAGGAGGAGAAGGAGGAGGAGGAGGGAGGAGGGAGGAGGAGGAGGAGGAGGCGGAGAGGAGAGGAAGGAGGAGGAGAGGAGGAGAGGAGGAGGAGGAGGAGGAGGAGGAGGAGGGAGGAGGAGAGGAGGAGGATGAAGGAGGAGGAGAGGAGGAGGAAGAGGAGGAGGGAGGAGGAGGAGGAGGAGGAGGAAGGGAGGAGGAAGGAGGAGGAGGAGGAGGGAGGAGGAGGAGGAGGAGGGAAGAGGAGGAGGAGGAGGAGGAGGGAGGAGGAGGAGGGAGGAGGAAGGAGGAGGAGGAAGGGAGGAGGAGGAGGAGGGCCCCGATCCTGGACCCGCGCCATCACCGCCCGCCCGCCCGCGGGCCTGCTTCTGCTCCATGAGGCGCTTCGCGTCCCGCTTCTGCAGGAGCAGCGCCCGCAGCCTGCCCTCCTTCTCCTGGCGGCGCGGCCGCTGCGGGCCCGGCGGCGCCACGGCCGGGTCGGACGAGAAAGTCTCCTCCTCCTCCTCCTCCTCCTCCTCCTCCTCCTCCTCCTCCTCCTCCTCTTGCTCCTCCTCCTCATCCTCCTCCCTTCCTCCTCCTCCTCCTCCTCCTCCTCCTCCTGCTCCCTTCCTCCGCCTCCCCCTCCTCCTCCTCCTCCTGCTGGGGGGATTGTTACGTTCCCTCCTCCTCCTCCTCCTCCCCTTTCTCATCCTACGTTTGGCCTGTCGTCGAGAGAGGGCGGGGGGGGCTTAAGACGAAGCCAGGACGAGGCTGAAGTCGGGCGAAGATGAATCGAGAGTCTCTGAGATCCGGCGGCCCTTGAGGATCTTGGACGCCGCGACCTATGCTCTGGAACGGATTGATCCTCGTCTATGATGGGCCTGTTTTCCACCACCACCACCATAAGTTGGAGGGGGAGGGTGCCCTCCTCCTCCTCCTCTTCGTCCTCCTCCTCTTCGTCCTCCTCCTCGTCCTCCTTCTTCCTCCCCCCAACCTATGGTGGTGGTGGTGGAAAACGCTCCCATCAGTCTAAGCCCTGTCCTGGGGTTACGTTCCCAGACGTCCAGCGTCTCGAAAAAGCCGAGTTGGCGTCTTTTCAACGTTTCCAGCCTCTCGGGGGCCCAACAAGGTCTCGAGGAAGAACGGCTCGGGCTTACAATCCGGTCGCGGGGAAATGGTCTAGAGGTCGGCGGCCGTGTCTCGAAAAAAACGAAACGCCTGATGTCTGGGCTTACGTCGAAAAACGGGCCAAGTCAGCATCGAATCGGCGAATTAAATCGAATCGAAGTGTGCATCGGAATGGGCCTCATCGGCACGGACTCGAAATCAGAACGGATAGGCTGCGCCAGGATGCACGACAGCGCCAGGCAGGAACATCGGCCCGCATCGAGCAAATGGAATACGTATCGGAATCGGATCAGACCGGGCCCGCCCGATTCGACGTCGAGTCGGATCGATCGGATCGAGTTGGACCCTGACGAAAGCGGGGGGTTACGTTAGAGGCGGCCGAGGGGTCTGGACTGGATGGGTCCCGAGAAAAGATCGGTCAAGGAGGGATGAGGGCACACTCAGTCAAAAAACTGCTGGGGTTGTCTGCTGGTTCGACTTCTCACCTGGGATCCGCTCTTGACTGTCCCGGGACCCGAAGACGGCGCCCGGGGGCAGGACAAGACAAGGAAAGCCACCTTCTCGAGCCCAGAACCTCGAACCTCGCCCCACGAGTCCTGCTCGCTGGAACCCGTGCTGGGCCACCTCAGGCCCCCAGCGGGCTCCGAGGGGCACGTTCACCTCACAGGACGGGCCCGGCACGCACCAGAGGAATGCGAGGCGGGGATGTGCCCACATCGCCCGGGAGCCGACGTGCTGGTGCCCCAGTGGGCGGTGGATGTGGATATGTTTTGGCCCTCGGGGTCTGGGGGCCCGAGTACATCCGTATCCACCGCCTGGGGAGGTCCGCGACGATCGATCCCACAGGCGGTGGTCAGGGCTAAACCCCCGCCTCGGAGAGCAGACGGCGGCGGTGGCGGCGGCGACGGCAGCGCGCTGGCGACGGTCTTCCTGTCGGTGGCTCGAAGATGGGGCCCGGAGGGATGGGGTCCCGCGGACGAGGTGCCCCAGACAGTGTGAATCCACTCTTGGATCCCGTCCTATCCGTAGGACCATTCCTCAAGACACCATCACCGATTCTGGCGCCTCCCAGCGCTGGAGGCGACCATGCGAGCGACGTAAAGAAACGGACCTTACGCGAGACGATCTAGCGATCTTGCGCGGTGGTTTGCGCAGACCGCCAGCGCGGAGCGCTGCATTGAAAACGGGACGTTTACGCGCGACCTCACGCGGGCAGCTCACGCACGAATGCCCGCGCAGATGACCCCGTTTTATTTCGTCGCCCATGTGTTGAGGAGACTGCCCGGCCGCGGGGCCGAAACCAGCCGCATGCAGCAGATTTCATAAGCCCCCCTCTCCCTATCCCCGAGGATTCAGCAAGCAAGAGTTATCGAAACTCTCTTGCCTCAGCGCGCGCTGGGGGCGCGCGTCGGCGGCTTGTTCAGCTGTGAAGGCTGATAGTGGTGCAAGCATGTTGTCAAACTCCGTTACGTACCCATTTGTTCGATTTCTCTCGCATCGGAATATGGAACTCCTCAGCGGCCCACTCGTGAGCAAGCCACCTCGCCGGCAGCGCCAGAGCACCCGCTCCCTATTGATCTTGTCGTCCAGCTCGAGGCATGAGAGGGGGAGGTCGGGGAGCAAGCGCTTCCAGAGGCTCGTTGGGGCGTTGCGGCGGGATCTCGCCCCAGATAGGGCCATCGGCCATCTTAGACCCCACAGGGTCCTGCTTCTTGCGAAACTCATCCAATCTACCAATCACGGACTCGTCGTCACCATCCCCGGGCCGTCTCACCCCCCAAAGGCGTCACACACCCCACCGTTGTCCCACCTCCCAACGTCGCCCCACCCCCCACTGTCGCCGCACCCCCCACTGCCGTCACACCCCCCGGCGCCGTCACACCCCCGTCGTCGCGCCCCCTTCAGAGCGTCCAAGATGGCCCAAGAGGCTGCCACTATCGCTCCAAGACGGCCCCCGAGGCCCCAAAGGAGGGCCTAGAGGCATCCAAGAGGCACAAGAGAGAGCAAAAAGGAGGAAATCGAAGGCACCCAAGAGGCCCCGCAAACGCCCCAAGATGCCTCCAAGAAGCCTCCAGAAGATCCCCACGAGCCTCCCATACGACCCGGGCACGGTGGAGGGATGGGTCGAAAACCACGAGATTGAAAAGGAGCGCAACTAACTCAGCGCGACAAGCAAACTGCCGGTGGATAGACTGTATAAATGAACCGCGCCGACCAATTACAAGCGTATTGTTTGCAATACCCCGTCAATGCTAGTGCTATCCCGGGTGTCCATCCATTTCGCCCCTTGGCCGTGCCCAGTGTGTGGCGGCGTCGCATGCGTAGTGCGCCAGTGCATCATCCTCCCTTTTCCATCGATTCTGGCATCAAGCTTCTCGTCCCTATCCATCGGCGCTCAATCGTCGGATTATCGACCCGCCTTCTCTAAAAAAGCCTGTCTGGACCACCAACGGTGTGAGCGTCGTATGGGGGCGAGAGAAGCGCACTGCATGCACTGTTCCACGCAGAGGGGGGTTATCAAGTACCAGGACTGGATCGAACCATGATCCGCACTTATCTCATGGTGGGCTCAATGGCAGTGTCAGTTGGTATCTGGTGCGTCGACAAGCCGCCGATCATCGACCAACTCGTGATCTGCTTGCGGCCCACTGGGACTGAACTGAGAGCCAACGGAGGCCATCCAGACGAAGACATCGGACCAACGGTGGTACAACGCGTGTAGAGGAACAGGAGACTACATAGACATCAAGCTCTCGGAAGTTCGCGCGGACTTCTTGGAGCGGCGCTGCACCTTGCTCCCTGACGCGCAGAAAAAGCGCCAGGGGGCGGCGCCGGAGGCACCGCCAGCGGAGCCCCGGCGCCGATCCGAGAAATCCGTGCGGACCTCCTCCTCCTCCTCCTCCTTCTCCGTCTCCTCCTCCTCCGTCTCCTCCTCCTCCTCCTCCTCCTCTTCCGCCTCCTCCTCCTCCTCCTCCTCCTCCTCCTCCTCCTCCTCCTCCTCCTCCTCCTCCTCCTCCTCCTCCTCCTCCTCCTCCTCCCCCTCCTCCTCCTTCTCCTACTTTTGCCAAGAGGGTCCGAGAAATCACGCTCGTGCCATTTCCGCTCCCCGAGCGCGTGCTGCCTGCGAGTGAAGTGCTCGGGCTGGCCTCCCGGGCCCCGACGGCGGCGTCGAGCCTGCATGCGCCCGAGGCCTCTCTCCCCGCCCAGATATGCCCAGTGCCCTCGGACCCCCCACAGAGGGCGGGCGCCGTGCTCTCCTCCTCGCTGGTGGCGGCGTCGATGCCGACCTTCAGGGCTCGACCCAAGCGGTGCTTTCCTGTTTCGGTTTGTCTTCGCTGTCCCTCGTGCTGTCTCCGTCCTGCCCGTGCTGCAAAACGAAGCCGACACGAAGAACGGCCCACGAAATCGCTCAAACACCGCTTGGGTCGAGCTCTGGCCGACCTTGATGCTCCGGCTCTCCTCCCAGATCGCCAGCAGCTGCGAGTTGATCGACGCTTCGTTCTGGGGACCGCGCGGCCCCACAAAGTTCGCCCTTCCCCAAGGGGTCCAGGAGGAGGAGAGGAGGAGGAGGGAGGAGGGAGGAGGGAGGAGGGAGGAGGGAGAACGGAGGATGGAGGAGGAGGGGCAGGGGGAAGAGAAAGGCGGGGCATGGGGGATGGTAGAGGGGGGGAGGCAAAAGGGTCCTCGTTTCTGGGGGCCCACGCCGTGAGAAACGGCATGCCCCCCCCTCCCCTGAGGAAGTCCTCCTCCTCCTCCTCCTCCTCCTCCTCCTCCTCCTCCTCCTTGTCCTCCTCCTCCCTCCTGCGGGATCCGTCTCCCTGGTGCGTTGCGGCGATCGCTGAATGCCTTCCCGCGTGGGCGTGCCCCGCGCGCGCGCGGGGATGCACCTCCGCTTCTGCCTCCCGCTCTCGGGGAGGGCCTGCTGCCCTCACGGCCAGCCTGGCCTGCGGAGGCAGCGGATTCGCTGCCTCACGGGAGAGGCTCTTGGCCGATTCCCGACTGCGCCCGTGCCCTCGGTCTCCGATCGCCCTCTGCCCCGCACCATGTCCACCAGTGTGCCCTTACCAGGCCCGTCGGTCGGAGGAAGCGGGTGAGCACGCGAAGCAGGAGGGCGTTAAAAGTCGATTGGGCTTCCGCCCGCCCCCTGAAGAGGAGGGAAAAGGTGAAGCCACTCGATCCTTGAAGTAGGAAGGCGCCTAAAGTAGATTGGGATTTGGGAATCTAGCAATACCTGGCCGGGGTCCTGTTTTTTCGAGAGGATCCCCGTCGCGTCGACATGCGTGCATCTCTCGCCCTCGAGGCTCCCTGGGCGCCCTGACGGTACCATGGCGATCTCCAAGGCCTCCAACATGGCGAAGACAGCTTCCAAGACGGCCCGCGAAGGCACCGACGCCACCGGAATGGCCTGAGATCATCTCACTGGGTCGACCAGAAGCAGCGCGACGATCCCCGAGAGTCCCTTGAATGTAGAAGAAGAGAAACGCCATAACCAGAAACTTTTGGCGCTCCGCGCAGGTTTCTTGGACGCGCACCGGCTCCCCATCCCTGGCGCGCTTCCGGCGCCAGGGGCGGCGCCGGAAGCGCCGCCAAGAGGGCCCCAGCGCGGGTCCGAGAAATCCGCGCGGAGCGCCAACGGTTTATGTTTATGCGGTTGCTTCTCCTTCGAAAAATGGCCCCAAGATGGTCCCGAGACGTCCACGGACTTCTCGAGATGGCCTCCACTCTCCAAGGACAGGCCCCAAGCTGGTCCGAAGCGGCCCCAAGAGGCAAGCTGGGCCCCGAGGCCTTCCGACACTTGTCCAATCACACTCACAGATGGCCCATAACCTTCCTTAAAATCAAACGCAAGTTTTTAATGTTGATCCACGCGCGAAACGCCGCCCACGGGGTTAGATTGTTGACTGCAGTCGCCAATTTCGGCTCGAACGTGGGAATTTTGGGATCCTGGGGCGCCGCCACGTCGCGGGAAGAACTTGCGTTTGATTTCGTCGAGGAGGGAGGCGTCCTTTCTTAGGGGGGTGTGCACTCGGGAAAGGGGCTTCTGCGGGTTCGCGGGATTCGGTTCGTCTTCCTTTCGGGCTCCTCGTGCGTTTTGCTGGATTCGGCTCGCGCGCAGGCGCCCTGTTCCAAGGGTCGGGGTCTAGCGCTCCGGTCGCCCAATTCTGGAGAGGTCTGAAGAAGCGGGCCGACCATTCACGGTCACACGCAAAGCGCCTGGTATCTCTCGAAGAATTGCGGTGTTACCAGACCGCTCGCCTCAAAGCAGGCAGCCTGGCCGCTGTCCGGGACGTCGCTATAGCAGCCGTGTCTTTCTTCGGCGTCCGGAGGTGTTCCGAGACGCTCGCGCTCCGGCGTCGAGACATATCTTTACACGACAATTTCGTGCCTATTTCTGTCGCCCGGCAAAAGAACGACCATTTCGGACAAGGCATGGTGTGCCACATCCCAAAGATGGTCGACACCCCCAGCCTTTGCCTTTGCCACGTCCTGCGGGAATGGCTGGTGCAGCGGGACTCGCGATGGGGTTCCGACCCGGATGCGCCCGTGTTTTGCACGACTCATTTGGCGGAGCCCCGTCCCATGAATTGCGACTCCTTCCGCCGAAATCTTTCGCAGTTCTTTCAGACCGCCGCAGTGGGAACACACTCACTGCGAAAAGGCGGCGCTCACTGGGACAGGACAGTCTGCTGCTTGCCGGGAGAGTTGGTGCAGGCTCAGAGCGGCGGGTCGGCCACTGAAACCATGCGAGCATTTTACGCTCGTTTCTCGGATTCAGAACGGTGCGATCAGCTGTTACGCGCCGTGTCTACAGCTTCGAGTGGCGTGGCGGTCCCAGCCATCACTCATCACCAGACGCGTGTTTCACGTATGCCTCTGTGGAGGCGCCTCACTGGGAGCTTGTAAAAACTCGCCTCCTCGGGGTTGCGCCTGGCCAGTGCTCCTGGCGGCCATTCCTGGGTCGCCACGGACCTGGCCAGGCTGGCCTGCAGCTCCATGAGGCACCCCACACGAGGCATATGTTGCCAGCACAGGAGACACCGCCTTGGACTTGGAGGCAAAACAGTTCCTTCCCGATTCCTTCCCCCAGTCACGGGGCAACGAACAGACAGAAGGCGTCCTTTCTTAGGGGGGGGTGCACTCGGGAAAGGGGCTTCTGCGGGTTCGCGGGATTCGGTTCGTCTTCCTTTCGGGCTCCTCGTGCGTTTTGCTGGATTCGGCTCGCGCGCAGGCGCCCTGTTCCAAGGGTCGGGGTCTAGCGCTCCCACCCCCCGCACCCTGATTTGTTCCGTGCCTGCTGCAATCCGCTTCCCTTCGGGGGGGTTGCGCCTGGCCAGTGCTCCTGGCGGCCATTCCTGGGTCGCCACGGACCTGGCCAGGCCGGCCTGCAGCTCCATGAGGCACCCCACACGAGGCATATGTTGCCAGCACAGGAGACACCGCCTTGGACTTGGAGGCAAAACATTTCCTTCCCGATTCCTTCCCCCAGTCACGGGGCAGCGAACAGACGGAATGCAAGACCACTCGCAGGACCCGCGAAAGTGCCAAACACGCCCCGAAGGAGCTCTCCAGCAAGCTCCTGGGAAGCCCAAGCTCCCAAATGTCACACTTCGCCTGTCTTCGGGCTTTGCGGGCATCGCCTGCCACATTTGCCGATTCAACCCAAGCTTGTTGACGTCTCCCTTCTGCTTCCGCCGCCTTCCGCCGGCCTTATGGCGGCTTCCGCTGGCAGATACGCCGCCGTTGTACTTCCGTCAACCTTTTTCTGCTGAGGGCGAGACGCGCCGGAGGCGAGGTCCTGCGCAGAGGCGAGAACCGCCGCATACTCCAGCCTTCTGGGGGACTCTCGGGGACGCAGAGTGCTGCGCTGGCAAAGTGGTCAGAGCTTGCCGCAAGCAACTTGACATCAGTGACGAGCCAGCGCAATGAGTAACGGCTCGGCCTCTTCTGAACAGGCAGAGATGTGTAGGCAGGCCCGCGGATGCTCTGGACAGTTTGGCTGCGTGAGCGCCACTCGGGCTCCCCCCTCCCAGCATGACCCAGCCGTACTCTGCTGGCAAAGATCCAAGCCGATCGGCCTCGTCCCTGTTGTCTTCTTCAATAACTAAAACAACCGCTGCCCCTCAGGAGGGCCATCCCACTCGCGCGATCAAGAACCAGCCACACGTCTTCACAGCTTGCCGGAGAAAAATGGATCGCACCGCAATGAGGCAACAACACTTTCAAAGCATGCCAGAGAAGCACAACCACGCCAAATAATAACGCTTAACCCAATCACCCTGGCTCTGGTCGATCGACGGATCCACGATCCACGGCCGGTCTTGGATTTTGGACGCCCAGAATGCGTACGGAAAAACTGGGCACGATACCCAACAACAAGTGTTTTTCAAAACCGACAGCGGCCGCCGATGGGCAGGCGAGCTTGTGTCTCGAGTGGACCCCGCCCGCAGCAACACCGACAACGAGCCCTGTCCATAGTGGGCCCGAGCTGCTGTGGGTCTTCGTAGCCGCTCTTTCCGGACCCGTTGAGATCGCACCGATCGATCACCAGACCCAGACCCCCGACGTCATGACTTTTTCATAACGTCGGCCCTCGGAGGTCTGGACCACTCCCCGCGGCCAGCTCTTCATCCCGAATCGCTCTTCGCCCGCCCCGAGGCCCGGTGAGGGCCCCCCAGGGGCCGAATATCATAGCGCAAACGCTCCCGCCGTGCTGCTTCGGCTAGGCGTAGGAGTGACCCTGGGTAAGAGTGACCTCTGGTGCGCAGCTCTTGGGGGCGCGAGGGGGCCAAAACACGAGCGCGCGAGACGCAACTGCCGCATCGCTCTCGGCGATCGGGGGACCCCGTTGGGCCCGTTTGCTGCCCGACCCGAGGCGGATCGGGGAGCAAGACCCCCCCCCCGGGGGCCCGCGCGCCCTCCCCCCCCCCGGGCCGGGGCTCCTGGTCGATGCTCTCCAGCGTGAGGTCGACGGTGCTGGCGTCCGAGAGGCCCACCGCCGAGGGGCTCTCCGGCAGGGCCCCCTTCCGCGGCGGGAGCGCGGCGCACTCGCCGCCGCTCGGGCGGCCACTCCCCGTGCGCGCTTTTTGTTCGGCCTCGAGCGCGTGCCTGTCGCAAGGGGGCCTGTCAGATTGGCGGGGCCCAGGGGCACACAAATGGATAGAGACAAGCAACAGGATTCCCCATAGTTTTCCACATTCTTTGGATTTTCGTCTTCCCCCCCCACGTCCCATATTTCCTTACATTTTCTGGGGAATCGACGATTCATTCTGTCTGTGTGTCCTTTTCCCTCCTGACGAATGCTCCCCGATCGTCCCTGCCGAGGAAAAAAAAGATGTGCGCGTCCGAGCGATGCCAAGGGCACGTGGGGTGGCGCGCAGGGGGGCGGCGCTCTGCGAAGGCGCGGGGGGCTTCGCGGCTGTTCTTCCCGGCGGCGGTCCAGAGATGGGGGCCTGAGGGATGGGGTCCTGAAGAGTAGTTGCCTCAAACGGTGTAGATCCAAAGTTTCGCTCCAAACACCTCCCAAAAAGTAAACATTAACAATTTGTACCTAGAACTTGTTTTGGGGTGCTTGGAGCGAAATGCTTGGTTATTGAAACAAATAAGCTAGGTGAAACTATTCACCATCCTTGGGCCCCTCACTATCCACAGGACCGCATCCCTCAGGACCCCATCCTTGAGCCAGTGACCCTGGCGCCTCCCAGCGCCGGAGGCGACCATGCGAGCGACGGAGAGACACGGGGGCAACGGATGAGCTCAGTTCCAGGCAGAGGGGTCTTTCGTGATGGGGTCCCGAAGACAGGTGCTACAGTCCACCTTATGGCGCATGGCGCGTGGCAGCCACGAACTGATATTGTACGACGTGCGTATCCCGCACGAGCGATTGCTCGAACTATTGCGTGCGTTACCGATGCCCCTTTTGCACAGTACCCATTAGCGCGAATCCGAGGAAGGCAAGGGGCTTCTCAGAGGCTCCCTGGCTTCTAAGCATCCTTCTTGAAAGCCTCGGGCCCTTGTGAGAAGGCCACGAGCCCTCCAGTCGGGGAGACGTACGACTCGGGTTCGAGGGACTCGGGTTGGCCTGACGGGGCCATCATGAAAATGACCCGACCCGATCTCAAATTTGACGCGAGCTCCCGCTGCAGACATCCTACGAAAACTGGACCGTCAAAATCCAAGACGGGCTCGTCAAACAGCGTCGGCAAACCCTAGTTCTGGCGTGCTCGAGTCTTACGTTTCCCCGATCTAAGCACTGTGAGCCTTGGAGACCCTATGAGTCCTGAGTGCCCTGCGAACCCCCTGAGCCCCTGGCCCTGCGAGCCTGAATCGCCAGCCCTCCGCTAATGAGTTCTCCGCCTCCTCGGACGGGCCCGCCCTCGCCGACTGCCTGCCAGGCCACCCCAACCCAACCCGAAGACCCGAATCTCGGGCGGGGGGGGGTACGGATTCTACCTCTGCTTTCTTCCATGCTCCCCGACGCCCCCAACCCCACACTGGAAACGGGGGGCAAAATGAGGCCTTCGGGTTGGGCCTGGGGTGGCCCGGTGACGCCCGAAATGGGTACGGAAAAAATGGGTACAATGTCCCATAACACATGTTGTCCCAAACCAAGAGCGGCCGCTGTTGGGCAGGCCGCCTTCTGTCTCGAATGGACACAGGCCGCGGCGGCGTGGACAGCGAGCCCTGTCCAAAACGAACAGGAACTGCTGTTGGGCATTGTGCCCATTCCTTCCGTGCCCATTTCCTTCGTGCAGGTGGTGGGTGGCGACTCGTGCGCGCCAGGCCCCCCCCCCCAGTCTCGAGCGGGCCGCCCGCCTTCTCTCTGCCGCCCGGGGGCCCCGCCCCGTCCAGCGAGGACGAGCCTCTGGGCCCGGCCTCCCCTCGGCTCGCCTCGCGCCGCGGCACCGCCATCGCCTGTGGGCCGCTCGCGGGCTCCTTCCGGCGCGGGGCGCGCGCGCTGTGCTTCCTCCCTCCTCCTCCTCCTCCTCCTCCTCCTCCTCCTCCTCCTCCTCCTCCTCCTCCTCCTCCTCCTCCTCCGCCTCCTCCTCCCTCCTCCCTCCTCCCTCCTCCCTCCTCCTCCTCCTCCTCCTCCTCCCTCCTCCTCCTCCTCCCTCCTCCTCCTCCTCCTCCCTCCTCCTCCTCCTCCTCCCTCCTCCTCCTCCTCCTCCCTCCTCCTCCCTCCCTCCTCCCTCCTCCTCCTCCTCCTCCTCCTCCTCCTCCTCCTCCTCCTCCTCCTCCTCCTCCTCCTCCCTTGGACTGGAAGGGCATGTCGAGGGGGCGATGCCGTTGGCCTCAGCCCGTGGTCTCTCGGGAGCAGAGGGCCGACGGTGGCACCGCTGGTCACATCTGAAGGCTTCTGTCTCCTGTGGTAGGGGGCCAAACACTGACACTAGCAAAACAACTCGGAGGTACACGCGGATTCCTCGGATTGACCCTGGCTTGCCGCGCCGCCCACACCTGACGGCTTCGGTCTGCGATAGGGGAACAAACCATGCCACAAACACTTGAACGCGGAGGATCTCGTGGATTCCTCGGATCGGCGCTGGGGCCCCCTGGGCGGCGCTGTGCGTGTGTGTGTGTGTGTGTGTGTGTGTGTGTGTGTGTGTGTGTGTGTGTGTGTGTGTGTGTGTGAATGTGTGTGTGTGTGTGTGTTTGTGTGTGTGTCTGTGTGTGAATGTGTGAATGTGTGTGTGTGTGTGCGTGTGTCTGCGCGCGCGTGTGTGAGTGTGTGTGTGTGTGCGTGTTTCACCCGATAAGCAAGAGCCCACCTTCCTCGAGTCAGCGCGCGACGGCCGGGCTGCAGTGCGGGCGTGCCGCCTGCGGCCGAGACCAACACCGCGGCCCCCCGGGACGCACCGCGCCGAAGAGTTCGGAGGTGGACCGCCAAAGGGGTCGGGGGCGCCGCAGAGTGCCGTCCCTGCGCGGCGAGGGGCTCCTTCCGACACCAGCCCCCCGCCGCTGCGACGCAGGCAGGGCGGGGCGAGGGGTCGACCTCGCCTGGGCTGCGCTTTGGGCGGGGTGGGCCTCTCTGATGAGAAGAACAAAACAGAAGAGCATCTCGGCGGCGAGCAAGGGAAGGAAGGGAGAAGGAGAAACCCTCTCCGAAGGCGGCGGGACTTCTCGGCAGCCCTCGCGCCCTCTGGGAGGTTTTTCGGTCTTCGGGGAAGGCGGAGAACACCTCTCGGAAGGCCGGGGGGCCTCCGAGCCTTTTGAGAAGGCCCGCCCCTTCTCACTGCCCTTCCCTCGCTCGCCGCCGAGCGTCGACACAAGCTTGCGACATTCTGCGCGGGCCTTCCATAGTTTACGTTTGTACAGTCGGGGGCTTGACCTACGGAACCCAAAATAAGGAACGAGGCCCCTTTCTTCCATGAGTTAAACTTCGATTTCCGATCGAAAACATAAGGAACACCTGAGGCAAGCTGCGAAACACTTAAGGAACGCGGAGCCCCTCCCCAACGCAAAGGGTTCCTTCTTCAGGGCCCCGACTGTAACGTGCTTTGTTCGTCGATCCTCCCAGGGCGAAGCTATCCCAACGCCTGGGGCGCACCGGAGAGCACGGCCTTCCCAGGGACGGGGACGGAGACAGGGCGCGGGGCGAGCTGCTCCTGCGCAGCAGGGGGAGGGGTCTCGGGAGGACCATTCGGATTGCCCGACGTGCCCGAGAAGCATCCTGGAGGTAAACGTGTTCGCTGCATTTCTTCACGACTTCGAGGGGCTCCCGCTGGGCTTCCCAGCATCGGGGCTGAAAGGCGCGCGGACATGTCTCGAGCGCTTTGACGATCCTTGTGGAGGTGTCGCGACGAGCTGAAATAGATCGGCTTTCGGAACGTGCCCAACGCCTTTGCGGAGCATGTCCCCTCAACGGCTCGTTCACCTAATTCCGCGCCTCGCGCCCCGGGATTCGCGACTACCTTCGCGCCATAGCGCTCTCGTGCCGCCTCCTCGGAGAAGGGCAGCCGCTCTGGCCGAGGCCGCGACGCGCGAAGCGCGAGTACCTTCGCTCCCCTCGGTGTGACATAGAGCAGATGCGGGAAACTTCTGGTCTCCGCGGCGGGTGTAAGCATCCCCCCCCCCCCCCCCCCCCACACCAAGAGGTCACTGCCAACGTACCCAGGGTATCCAGGACAGGCCACGTGGTGGCTGCCTCCTGCCATCCTGTGCCGTCTTGGAGGCAATATGACGTCATCTTGGTTCCATCTTGGACGCTCCCACTATGAAATCCGACATCTGGCCGCCTCGACTCCCACCCTGAGAGGCCGAGTCATAACCACCGACGCGAGCGCACTCCGGGCCAAGAACAAGAGCCCCTGACCTGGCACACGCTCATGCCGATACGGGTTTCACTCGTCCGCTCGGCGGACCTCCTCGTATGGCCGATTCCAGAAACCCTGAACCCAAGAACGCTGCCATCCCTTGGGGGCGCACCTTCTACTTCCGCCGGGCTCCGCCGGCCTTCCGCTGGAGCTCCGACCCCACCCGGGAGGCCTAGAGATACTCACTCCGCTCCAGCCTCACCTCTCACCCGTCCCGGGACGCAAAGGCCCCTCGCGGTCCTCCGCCTCCTGCTGCTGCGGCTGCTGCTGCTGCGGCTGCGGCTGCTGGTGCGGCTGCTGCGGCGGCCGGAGCGGCTGCGCCGCCTCGGCGGCATCCTGCCGCGGTCGGGGCGTCAGCTTGCCGCGAGGGGTGGGGCGCGCAGCCCCGCACGAGGCAGGTGGGGCCGTCGCCCCCCTGGCCGTGCGGAGGTGGGTTTGCGGGCGGGGATGGGCTCGACGTCGGCGCGCTTCGATCGCAGGGGCGAGCGCGGGGTGCCCGAGGGTCGGGCGCGGCCGCAGCCCGCGCGTCCCCCCAGAAGTCCGAACGCGGCGTCCGGAATACGGCGGCGTTCCGCCCGCACGGTGTATCTGCCAGCGCCCATCCGGAGTACGTAGCACTCCGCGGTCGCGGACCAGAGTGAGGGGGCCAGTCGCGGGGTGGGTCGCGGGTTGGTTGCGGGGTGGATCGCGGGTGGGTCGCGGGTGGGTCGCGGGCGGGTCGCGGGCGAGGACGGCAACAGCATCAACAGCAGCAACAAGCACAACATCACCACCAACAGCAATAACACCACCACCACCAGCATCAACAGCAACAGCAGCAACAACACCAACACACAACACCAGCAACAACAAAAACAAATACAACGACAGCAACAGCAACAGCAACAACAACAATCAATTTGAGACTGTTCGCTCTTATCTGCTTGCGTGACACCCAACACGTATATGAGAAACCCTCGATACCCGCCCTCTTCGTCTTCGATCGTGCCCTCTTGGGGGTAATACCTTTACTACTCGCCAAGTGCATTTCGTGCAGCCCCTGAAGGCAAGGGAAGAGAGGACGGATGGAAGGAAGCGGCAGTGGGGGAGGAAGGAGGATAGAACACGAGAGAGAAAGTAGCAGGAGGGGGGCCGGGAAGAGAAAGCACGTGGCAGAATCAAACGTGCAGATCGGGCGGGTAGACCCTAACAGGCGTGTCGGAAGGCGGGCCCAGGCGGCCAGGTCGAGCAGACGGGTTGCTGAAGCGTGCGTCCTGCATGAAACGCGAGGAGGTCTCGAGCGATAGCGCGATTCCCAAATAAAATGTCAGGAAATCTTTCGCGAGAGCGCGATTCCGGAGTGTCGAGGGCGCGGCGTCTGAAAACCCACGCGAGAACGCGATTCCTGTATACATTGTGAGGAAGCCCCGCGCGAAAGCGCGATTTGGGAATAAATTGCGAGGACATATCAGGCAGGAGCCGTTGCTACTATAGTTCGTGACCCAAAAACCCAGTGTGGTGTTGCGATGCGAGAAAAGCAAGGGCGCACCACCACCGAGCAGAAGAGAAATGCACGGTCGGGCGTGTCAGGTGACGATTTGCTCACTGCATCAACCTCGCTATGTTCCGCCTTGTACGACGGGCAGAGCCCACCAACACATCGATTCGCCGCGAATGGAATTCGTGGGGCTGTGTGGACAGACGATGTGGCGTGAGGCGTGTCTCCGCCCTCTCTCTCTCTCTTTCTCTCCTCTCTCCTTCCTCTCCTATCCTCTCCTCTCCTCTCCTCTCCTCTCCTCTCCTCTCCTCTCCTTCACTCTCTCTCTCTGTCTCTCTGTCTCTCTCTCTCTCTCTCTCTCTTTCTCTCTCTTTCTCCCGTCACGATTCCATCAGAGGCGGAAGGCGGAGGAAGGAGGATGAGGAGGCTCCCGCCTCAGAGGTTCCAAGGAAAGGAAGAGTCTCTCGCCTGAGAGGTCCCCAAACAACTCACTCAAAAGGAAGCTCCCGCCTGAGAGGTCCCAAACCAACTCACTCAAAAGGAAGCTCCCGCCTGAGAGGCCCCCCCCCAAAAAAAACATCAGGTCCCGTCTGAGAGGTCCCTAAACAACCAACAAGCCAACACACAACCACGAGCAGCACCTCTCATCCCTGCAATTGCCACACAAAACAAAACCAGTTAAAGTTTCAGATAAGACCTCCTCCTCATCCTCCAAAGGACGGATGGGGAGAAGAGGAAGGGCAGCTAAGGAATAATTATCCCCTGAAGGTGTTATTGTTTCCGTTTTTTTCTGGCAGTTGCAAGGGTGCGAGGTGTTGCTAGTGTTTGTTTTGTTGTGGGACCTCCCAGGCGGGAACCTGATGTCGAATGATTTGTTTGGTTTGGGTTTTATGTTCTGGGATCTCTCAGGCGGGAACTGCCTTTTAAGTGAATTGTTTTGGGACCTCTCCGGCGGGAGCCTGATTTTGAATGCTTTTCTTTCGACCTCTCAGGCGGGAGCTGCCTTTTAAGTGATTTGTTTTGGGGCCTGTCAGGCGGGAACCTGATTTTGAATGCTTTTTTGTTCTGGAATCTCTCAGGCGGGAGCTGCCTTTTACTTGACATGTCTTGGTACCTATCAGGCGGGAGCTTGACTTTCGATGTTTTGTTCCTGGGAACTCTCAGCCGGGAGCTTCCTTGTTGAATGGGTTCCTGAAGGACCTCTCTTGCGGTTGTGAAGTTTGAGCTGTGTTGCTTGGGTGGTACAAGCAAGGACGCGACGACGACCGGGGGGAGGAGAAGGAGGCGGCGGCCGGGGATACGCACGATGATGAGGACGAAGAGGAATCAGATGAAGAGGAGGAGGCGGCGGCGGGAGACCCAGCAGCGGGAGGAGGAGAGCAGTGCGCTTCCTTCCCGTCTGGCGGCGACGACGACGGCGGCGCTGAAGGCGGCGTGCGCCCCCCCCGAGTCCGAGGGAGGCCGCGCGGCACAGCTCGTGCAATCTCCGTGCGTGGTTTCCTTGGGGGGGGGGCCTCTCAGGCGGGAATCTCTTCCTCATTGTTGCCCTGGGTGCAATGCCCGACCCTTCGGGTGCAATGCCCAAGTCTCTCGGGTGCAGTGCCCAACCGCTCGGGCGCAATGCCCATCTCTTCGGGTGCAATGCCCAGACGATCGGATGCAATGCCCAATAGTGCGGGTGCAGTGCCCAACTCTTCGGGTGCAATGCCCGACCCTTTCGGGTGCAATGCCCAACTCTTCGGGTGCAATGACCAGCGGGTGCAATACCCACTGCGTCGGGTGCGATGTCCACGTTTCGGGTGCAATGTCGAATTCTTCGGGTGCAATGACTACTGCGCTGGGTGCAATGCCCACGCCGTCCTTCTCCACGGTGATCGGCCGCCAACTTACCTACTCCAACATCGGGGACTGCGCGGTGCAGGTTTTCCGTCAGAACTCGATTTTAGGCACCTAAACGAAGATATTCACCGCGCGCATTGCCGCGCGACCCTGGCCACTGGCTGCGCGACTCGCTCGTGCGCGGCCACGGCTTCCTGCCCCACCCCCCTTCGGAACACGACTTGACGCGCCTCGACTTCACGGTGATGGCGCTCCCGGCGGCGATGCGGCGCATCGGCGAGCGGGCCGAGGCGTTGCGCCAGTGGGGGGGCGGAGCTTTTCCAGGAGAGCGAGCTGGTCTGGGAGTGGGTGCGCGACGCGGCCGCCCGCGCCAGGCCGACGCGCCCCGCCGCTGGGGCCAGGCCGATGCGCCTCGCCAGGCCGATGCGGTTCGCGCTCGATAGCACGGGCTGAGAGGCGCCCCGTTCCAGGAGCCGTTCGCTCGCGCGATTTCAGCGGGGCCGCGCGGGGGCGCGTCGCCGCGGAAGTGCCGCAATCACGACGATACCGAATTCCACTAGTTGGAGAGGTGTGTGAGTTCCCCCATCGGACATCTCCGTTCGACTCACGTGTGATGATCCGATGGAAAAAAATCGCTGGGCTGACGTCGGAGTAGTGTATGAGCAGTTTGGGTGCTGCGCATGCGTGTTCGGTTGTTTTTGTAATGCATAATGCAATTCGTCATGGATGTACTTGCTCCATATAACGAACTTCAGGACGTCCTAACAGCTGTTTGGCCGCCGTTATTTCGCATTCGAACTAGTTGCAAAATGCAGCGCAAGTGCAAAGGGGGCGTTCTCTGCC